AGGGTTCCCAAGCGGAATATGAGTTGCTGTTCCTGCAACCTTCGGGTAGCATCGTTGTGGCACTGCAGGAGGCCCAGGATGGACATGTCGTCTGAGGAATGGGAGGGGGAGTTGAAATGGTTCGCGACTGGGAGGTGCAGTTGTTTAGTGCAAACCGAGCGTAGGTGTTCTGCAAAGCGGTCCCCAAGCCTCCGCTTGGTTTCCCTGCTGTAGGGGAGGCCACAACAGGAACAGCGGATGCAGTATACCACATTAGCAGATGTGCAGGTGAACATCTGCTTGATGTGGAAAGTCTTCTTGGGGCCTGGGATGGGGGTGAGGGGGGAGGTGTAGGGGCAGGTGTAGCACCTCCTGCGGTTGCAGGGAAAAGTGCCAGGTGTGGTGGGGCTGCAGGGGAGTGTGGAGCGGACAAGGGAGTCCCGGAGAGAGCGGTCCCTCCGGAAAGCAGAGAAGGGTGGGGAGGGAAAAATGTCTTTGGTGGTGGGGTCGGATTGCAGATGGCGGAAGTGTCGGAGGATGATGCGTTGGATCCGGAGGTTGGTGGGGTGGTACGTGAGGGCGAGGGGGATTCTGTTTTGGTTGTTATTGCGGGGAGGGGGTGTGAGGGATGAGTTGCGGGAAATGCAGGAGACACGGTCGAGCGTGTTCTCGACCACTGAGGGGAAGAAGTTGCAGTCCTTGAAAAATGAGGACATCTGAGATGTACGGGAGTGGAATGCCTCATCCTGGGAGCAGATGCGGTGGAGGCGAAGGAATCGGGAATAGGGGATGGCATTTTTGCAGGAAGGTGGGTGGGAGGTGGTGTATTCTAGGTAGCTGTGGGAGTCGGTGGGCTTGAAATGGATATCAGTTTCTAGGTGGTTGCCAGAGATGGAGACAGAGGTGTCCAGGAAGGAGAGAGAGGTATTGGAGATGATCCAGGTGGACTTAAGGTTGGGGTGGAAGGTGTTGGTGAAGTGGATGAACTGTTCGAGCTCCTCATGGGAGCACAAGGCAGCGCCAATACAGTCGTCAATGTAACGGAGGAAGAGGTGGGGTTTAGGGATTTGTGTTTGATAAGGGAACCAAGGGGTTGGGGGGAGGGGAGACAGGAAACTGGATTAGGTGTGATCTCACTGAATGGAGAATGCTCAAACGGCCTAGTCAACACCTGGACTGTGACAGACTGTGCACAAAGCAGTTATAATCTGATGTGCCTGGGCCCAACGTTATGGAGGGAACAGGAGGAGGAATGCATTCAAATTTAAGATCAAAACAGTAAGACGTGGAGAGGTAGAGGGGAAATTCTTGGGCTGCGCTATCTCAGCCAGGATGGTACGAAGGGGCCAAAGTCACAGCTGCTGTTTACTAGCTAGTGAATGTAGTTTAGAAGATCAGTCAGAGTTATGGCTGTTGTTTACCAGTAAGTTAAGAAAAGTAAAGTAAGATCTGCCAGGGTTACTGCCTGATGGTCAGCCCCACACTAGGGGAAGGTTTGATGTGTGCGCGTAAAATCGGAAACATGTGCTATGTGCGTAAATCAGGTGCAAACAGAACTGTGCAGAGCGGCAATGCCACCCAGAAGTGGATTTTCACCATATGTGATTGTGGAACAAGAATGGGTTACTGGAGTCAATGGCATTGGGCCTAATTCCCATTGCCCTGCAGAGACTCATCATCTAGATCTAGAAGGGAGCTAGGATTAAGCAGAGGTGGTCAGTGGGAACATGTAGTTCAGGGCTGAATGAGTGCATCACTGTGCTTGATTGAGGTGGTAAGGAATAAAAGGAAATTGCAACAAACAGTTTCAACCATTTTTACTCACCCCACAATCATTAGCACCGTCACCACACATTCCGACATAATAGCTGTTCAAAAACAAAACAAAGCCACAAGATTTATTTAATACATTCAACAACGTGCGTGTACCTGCTCCAATGAGCCCCAACACTAACAGCACTCTCACCTTACAGGCACGAAGTCCTAGGCTCGAGCCCAACTCCAGGGCCCTGAGCGCAAAATCCGGGCTGACATTTCAGCGCAAGACTGGTTGGGGAGGGCAAGGACTTGGCACCAAAGGGGCCATTACACCAAGGTCTGACCTGCCCTCTCAAACAGGCAGTAAGAATCCTGCAGGCACTATTCTGAAGCTGGGTCGAAGCCCTGGAGCTCCCTTTCTAACAGCATTTTGGGACTACCTACACAACACAGACCGTAGCTGCTCAAAGCAGCAGCTCACCACCACGTTCAAGGACAACAGACTCAGTGACACCCTCCAACCCAGGAATGAATAAAAGTCAGGACGATGAGTGGCGCGGAGGGGTACTTGCAGAGGATTGTTCCATCTGTCTGCTGCCCTTGTCTTCGAGATGGTACTGGTCATCGATTTGGAAGGCGCTGTCACAGGAGCCTTGATGGGTTCCTGAAGCGTTTCTTGCCGAGGTTCACACTGCTGCTGCTGAGCATCATTGGTGGAGGGAATGAAGGTTGAAATTTAAGAAATTCTGGGTGTGCGCTGTATATGCCCATCTTGCTTCCACTGTGAACTGGAGCTCAACCAAAAACAAACTGCTGTTTCATAAGCTAAAGCCCTCCAAGTCCCATTCACCCATCACCCCAAGTGGCTTCCATTAAAAGGATTCCCATCTCAGTTTCCCATGGCTCATCTCCTCCAGCCCCACAACCCTCTGAAATCTTTAAACTCCAACGCTGGCCTCTTGCAAGTCCCCAGTTTTAACCATTTCATGATTGGAGGCTGGGTTTTCAGATACCTGGGGCCCAGTCATGGCATCTCATTATAAGCAAGGAGGTCCCACAAACAGCACTGAGGAAAATCATAGAGTTGATCTAATTGTGTGGCATGATGTCTCCATGGTTAGCACTGCTGCCTCCAAGCACCAGGAACCCAGGTTCCATTCCCCCTTGGACGATTGTTTGGGTGGAGTTTGCACATTCGCCCTGTGTCTGCGTGGGTTTCCTCCGGATGCTCCGGTTTCCTCTTACACAGTCTAAAGATTTGCAGGTTAGGTGGATTGGACATGCCCACAGTATCCAGAGATGTGCGGGCTGTGTGGGTTAGCCATGGGAAATGCAGTATCACTGGGATTGGGGGGTTGGGATGCTGTTCGGAGTGGATTTGATGGGTCAAATGGCCTGCTTCCGCACTGTAGAGATTCTATGACCCTATGCTCTGGAATTCCCTCCTTAAATCCCTTTATGTCTCTCTCCTCCTTTAAGATACACCTTAAAATAGACATAGTAGGGAACTCGCTTGTCCCAGGTTTTGGTGAACTGTCATAACATTTCCTCTCATGAAGAGCTTCTCACGACAGCAAAAGGTGCTACATGGACATAATGTGCCATATACTGTAATTGGACAGCAGGTTTTTCAATAAAATCAAACAGAAGTGATGTTAATAATGGGTTCTGAAACCCCAACACTGAGCCAAGGATGCTGTCAATACTCACTCCACTTTCTGAAGAGCTTCCACGAGCTGGGTTTTCTGATCTGGAGCCATACGTGCATAAACCGTCCCACACAGGAGCAACTGGGCAGGGCACAAAACACAGACCATTACATTTCCAATGGCAACCTCCAGGCAATATAGACACAAATATCCATCCACTGTCAATTCAAGCAGCTCCCAGAGGAATTCTACCCATGGCACGGACCAAGTCCAACTTAGTTACAAAAACACTGACGTAGCACCTCTATCTAAACGCATGCTGTATCTGGCTCAGGAGAACTTGATTTGGGGTGGGGTGGCAGTGTACAGGGAGCTTTACTCTGCATCTAACACCGTGCAGTCCCAGTCCTGGCAGTGTTTTTTCAAGCACTAAGCATTGAGGCGTGGAGACAAGAAAGGAATTGGAAACTCAAATGGCGAGAGAGGGCGAGAGAGGGCGAGAGAGGGCGAGAGAGGGCGAGA